ACACACACACACACACACACACATACACACACACTCTTCATTTTGTTTTTCCCACCTAATCAATCAATCAATCAATCAATCAATCAATCAATCAAGCAACCAATTAAAACAAAAAACATCACAGAAAGGTGGTTGGTGCATTGCATATTCCCATGGGGCAACGAACCCACTGTCAGGTGCGTTCGAACAATACAAACGTTGTTTCTGGCCGGTCCTCCTCCTTGACCAGGATATGATAAAACCCATGGCGGATATGGAACTTACTAACATAGTTGGCATACCCAACCGCATCCAACAAATCATAAATCCGAGGAAGGGGGTACACATCTTTGATCGTGATATCATTCAATTTTTTGTAATCGGTGCATATGCGAATCAACCCGTTCTTTTTTGGAAGTAGAACCAGGGGGAAGGACCAGGAACTTGTGGTTGGCTTGATCCATCCTCTAGCCTCGAATTCTCGGATTCGTTCCAAAGCCGTTCTCCGTTCCGCGAGGGAATATCGGTGTGGTTTGCAGTAGATTGGTGGATGCATTCCTGTTTGGATTTCGTGTTGGATAACTAGGGATAGTCCGATGTGTGTGTCCTTGAGGCTAATCGCCCCTTGATATTCGGACAGGATGTCGGTAATGAGGCGACGAGTTTCATCGGGCACGTACTCGGGCATATGCAACTCGTAAAATTGTCCGTGAATGTTAACCATCACTTGTTTTGTACAAACCTTTGTAGTAATTTGTACTGTTTCGTAGTGGGGGAGACGAGAAGAAGTTGTCCGATCTCCATGAGAACACCGTGGCAACCATCTGAGCGTTCTCTTTTTGGATCTCGACGTGGTCTTCGGGTGTAAGACCGTCTTCGATGTCCCAAGGGCTGACCGGTTTCTCGTTAAAATTTTATCCCGATTTCGAAGGGCGAGAGATCGTCCGAGTCATGCCCAGGTGGTTCCGGAGCTTCGCTCTCGGCGCCATGCCTCAGCAATGGAATCTTCTTTCCTATAGAGAGCAAAGAGCGAGGTAATCGCGTAATATCGCAGAAAGTTTTTTTGTCGCTATTCCTTGGAATTGTGTTTTTGTTATAAGTGAAATTGTTTTCATGTTCACTTTTTTTTTTAACTGTAAAATGGCAGAACGAAATGAGGAAATTATAGACGAAATAACGACAAAGTAAAATAACGACAAAGCAAAATAGCAATAAATCGAAATAACGACAAAGCAAAATAAGGACGAAACAATGTTGATAAAGTCAATCAAATAAGAATTTTAAGAGAAATATTCTAACCATGGACAAAATGTCAAATGCTATTCTAAGCCTCATATCAGAAATGTTGGCTTATGAGAAAGCAAACGGAGGGAAGTGACCTCTTGCAAGCAAAGATGCAAAACCTAACATAAAAACACCACAACTACAAGGATCCTCTTGAGCAGGAATCTCATCCACAGATATATCAAAGGAGGATGTAGGCCCGTCCACATAATATCTTTCGCGAAGATTGTGCCCGCTTCGAAAAAATCTTCCAAACGTTCAAGGACTGAAACATAGTCAGCACGAAGGAGAGAGTCTATGAGGTGGAATTTACAGTTAGGACCATCTATGCTGACATAAGCTAACGCCCAGTGATTTCCAAAATGAAGAGGGATAATCACTAAGTCATAATAAAAAAGATTTGTGTCCTTCACCCATTTCATCCCTTCGGAATATGCGGTTTCAAACCTCGAAGGACCTGACAATCGAGTGAAGAAAAAGAAATTGAAAATGTACACAAAAGGAACCCTATCTCTTGTCACTTCTGTACATGCCGAATCAACCTTGATGTGATCATTGGTGATTTAGACGGCTAGCAGGTACAAATTGACGACTTCATCATTTAGCCATTTCCCATCCTCGACGACGACCATGATGTCTTCCTTTCCTACCTTCCAGCTCCCCTTGTAATCGACAATGTCGTATGCTTCATTGTCTTCGTTGCTGCCTGTAATCATGTCAAGATACTCCTTTTCTTCTACGGTGAGGCGTTTTGTTGCTAAAGGAATCTGGAACGAAGGGTCATGCACTGCATACAAACACACATATAAACAACAATTGAACGACTAAGACTTCATACAAAAATGAGCTTTTCGTTATGTGATGTACGACGTAGACCCGAGTTCATGTTTTTGGTTGTCTATCTGTTTCGCTATTAGAGCTGCCATCCACAATAGATAAACTGCAACCTTCGCGATGCAATTTCTTCCTTTCCCTAAGGCTTATTCCAACAACTTTAAACATCCTTAGGGAAGCTGGCTTCATAGATGAAAATGTCATGGGTGTAAGTCTTCTTCTCTCTTTTTTGGGCAATAACGGCAAAGTTGATAAGGCTTGCAAGGCACAACGAATAATATTATTCTCACTCTGCCTTTGCGAATGTACGTGCGTCATTTTCCACAGTTCTTTTCGTCGCCCTGCATGTTCAACAATATAAAACGACAATGATTGACAAGACAAAATATTATGAGTTTAAGTTCAATTTTCCACATAATTGCAAATAAGAGATACACAATATTCTACTTAATTTCTTCTCATGACCGAGCACACGGTTGCAAACTTAGGCAAAAAATTAGTTCCTATGAGATGAGTGCATGTACCCCCTAATCCGCATACAATATTAGATATTCCCTTAGAGATAAGTACGTGCTCACCTCGGTGGCTCACTAACACTTTGTGTTCAACACGATCTTCTATCGCACCATGCGATGGTGTAAAAGGAGATTCGTCGATAGATATCACGAGGTTAGCAGACTGTTGTGCTTCTGCTTTTGCAACCATAAGTTCAGGTTGTACAAGCGTATGTTGCTCCCGTGTACTTAGTACTATATGTCCTTCATCCTCTTCGATGGCCTGTACATTGGCAGTTTCGTTTGCACCTACAGTCGCGCTTTCATTCTTCATGTCCAGAGAGACTTCATGTTCATCTTTCTCAGCTGGCATATCCAATGGCATCTCTAATTCTGCAAGTGCACCAGTATTATCCACTTGCGCAGTAACGCTCTCGCTCGCCAACACAGTGGTCGCCCAAACTTGGTCATCCGGAAGGACGTCCTCGACACATTTCGGCAGTTCTCCATGACTTACGCCCTTGACGCTTGCACCGCCGCTTCCTTCCAAATCCTGGCCACTTGCATCGCCTCTCGATCCCATGCCATGTGCACTGCTGCTTGGTCCTAATCCTAGGGGCGAACCCGATCCTCTGCAATGTGCATCGCTGCTTGGTCCTAATCCCAGAGGCGAACCCGATCCCTTGTCATGTGCACCGCCGCTTGGTCCTGATACCTTTTCCTCTGTTGCTTGACGCCCTTGACACATTTCGTGTTTTTGCAGTTCACCATGACTTATTGGCTTTCCACTTGCACCGACGCTCGGTCCCAGGCCCTTGCCACTGGCACCGCCCCGTGGTTCCGATCCCTTGCCATGTTCACCACCACTTGATCTTGTTCCCTTGCCAAGCGCACCGCCGCCTGATCCTGATCCATTGCCACTCTCATCGCCGCTCGCTCCTTTCCTTTCCCCAACTTTGTCTTCAAGTTCCTCTTCGATACGCCAATTATATCCAAAAGCTGGACTTGTTTCTCGATCAAATAACTCTTTCAGATACTCAAGCGATCGAGATGTTTTGACCTCCACTGCAGATCTCCCCTGCGGTGGACCAGGAACACGTTCCTGACCCGCAGGCCCGCCAGTCATCAACACAGCCTTATCCGGTCCAGAGCCCCGAACACGAGTCGACGGAGTGCCCGTGGAAGGTGCACCCCTCGAAACCGGGGTGCGTTGTCGCTTAGACCCCTATGCCTCCAGACTCCCAACCCCAGCGGCCGGCGTCCCCTTCGATTTTTTCGGAGATTGTTCCATGCTCCCAGAATTCTTACTTGCTCGTCGTTTACTTGCCTTTCCCTCTCCTTCCATGTTTTGTAGCGCTGCCTAATCTGAAAGCAACACAACACATCACCGCGAAGCAAAAAATCAGAAGGCCGCACAACGTTGGCATGGCACGAGGAGCAGAAAAGTTCCAGATAGTGATAAGGCAGCATCTCCTTCGTGACGAGGCAGCCGCGATCATGTTTAACTCGATCGTGATTGTGCCCGTGGTCAACACGATCTCGTTCGGCGCGAGCGTGACAGGCCAGCTCGATTGTGTTCGACTCGATCGTGAGTCCAGGCTTATCGTGTTCGAGTCGATCGTGTTCGACTCGATCGTGAGTCCAGGCTTATCGTGTTTCACTCGGTCGTGTTCGACTCGATCATGATCGACTCGATCGCGTTCGACTCGATCGTGTTCGACTCGATCGTTTTCGAGTCGATCGTGAGTCCAGACGATCATGTTCGACTCGATCGAGTTCGACACGATCGTGCTCGACTCGATCGTGTTCGAGTCGATCGTGAGCCCAAGCGATCGTGTTCGACTCGATGGTGAGTCAAGGCGATCGTCTTCGAGCCGATCGTGTCGACTCGAACGTGAGTCCAGGCGATCGTGAGTCCAGACGATCGTGAGTCCAGACGATCGTGTTGGATCCGTTAGTGAGCCCAGGCGATCGTGTTCGACTCGATCGTGTTCGACTCGATCGTGTTCGACTTGATCGAGATCGACTCGATGGAGGTCGATTCGATCGAGTTCGACTCGAATGTGGGGGGCCAGCGCGACAGTTCGACACGACCGGATACGATCGAGTATCCAAAAGCAGACAAACAGAACACGGGAACGGGACAACGTATCCAAAAGCAGACAAATAGAAGACGGGAGCGGCGTAGCTAAAAGTCACATCAAACAAAGCAGACGGATCGAAAGCCGACATCGACAATTTCACATCAAACCCATTGCTGTCATAACGCACACAGTCTCAGTCCACACTGTTGCTGAATGACCCACATTTCTCACACTGTTCATCTTTCGCTGAATAGGAAGCGGCGTTACGAACAAGGCACACCAATCAAGGCACATCAATTAGAAGCCTACATCCATCATCAATTCGAGGCATTCAATTGGCAAGGCAGGCAACCAGCACCCGCAACGAGCGACTAACAGTACGCTCCACCGATCACTAAACACACACACGCACACATAAGAGAGAGAAAGAGAGAGAGAGGTTAAACCGGCATCGACAAGCTCACATCAAACTCAATGCTCGCACGCATACATAGTCTCAGGTGTCACTTTTGCTGAACAGCTGAATAGCTGACATGTCCTACACTGTTCATCTCCCATGACCTCCCCCTCGACCTCGCCTATCCTTTCCCCCCGAAACCGTACACTGCGTTTAGGGATGAACCGTACGTAAGGATCTGTGGACTGCACAGGGTTGAAGTGGAGGAGAAGCAAGACACGTATCGTGCACAGAGGAAAGCACATGATCTCGCTTACTCCTCGACCTTCTCCCAATGCCGGGGTGTATCGACCTGCCCCGCCAGTTTCACGTCAAACCTACCGTTCCTCCAACCATGCGTTAACATAATCGAGTCCCCGTCAACGATGAGCTCGTTCCTGGACACGTAAATACTCGCTTCCACTGAAGTCTTACTTCTATTTCTTACCGAAACACAAAGAACCCTAGCGAAAGAGAAATGACAGAGATCAACATGTACGCAGAAGTACGACACACTCCCCGTCAAGTTGGAAAGGAAAGGGATATTCCTCTAGAAACTAGTTCTGTTTCGCGCAGTCGAGCAACTCCATCTTCTTCGATGGTCCCCACAAGCGCGGTGGACACGACACGTTGTGCGCAGTCAACGACAAAGACAGGTCTCGGGTACGAAATATCGCAGACAACACCGGCGTGTGTTTCGTCACGAGGATGTGGTCGAGGAAGATGAATGTCCCCCATTCCTGGCTGGATGCTAGTCGATAATCAGATGCCCAAGGCCAGTCTTTCATTGTGTTCTCCCAGTCCAATTCGGACCATGCATCGAAGGGCTTTTCAAGCCAAGGCATAACGCTCATCCAAGGGTCCGTGTCGAAGTCTTCTCTACGGGCCCAAGTATAGTTGTCTCCCGCCTTGAACCTCGCAGGTACCTTGCGCTAGCATTCAAAGGGAACGAGTAATCGAAGCGGTGAGCTATCGCAAACGTCCTACACACACAGACGATTGACGACCACAACAGGGAGCCATTGCTAAGGTCGAACGCGCTCACACACCGAGGAGCCATCGCAGTTACACACAGAACGACAAATTCCATCGGCGGCTATCCATCGTCGCGTTCCTCGCGACGAGGCCGATGACGGACAATCGACGAAGCTCAAACGGATGGCGCCTTGGCTCTTGCCGGCGGACGAGTTCGTAGAGCTTGTCTCGACGACGGCTGGCTTGCCACCGTCGAGCCGTACTCGACAATGACCAGCACGCCGTCGTTGAGTAGAACTCGACAGCGGGACAGTAGGGCATCGTCGAGCCGAAGTCGACAGCGGCCAGCATGGGGCCATCGAGTCCAACACATCGGCAGCGGCAAGTCATATGGCCATTGTCGAGTCGAACTCGACAACGGACCGTGGTCATAGAGTCGGACTCGACAACGGCCCCGGGCCTTTGTCGAATTCGACTCGACGTCGGTCGTAACACTTGGCGTTGGTCCACCATCGAGTTCGACTCGACGGCCTGGGTTCATCGTCGGGTCGGACTCGACAATGCCGAGACGAAATCGACGACGCCCTGGGGTCATCGTCGAGTYCGACTCGACAGTGGCCGGAGGCTTTGGCGCTTCCCTGCCGTCGTGTTCGACTCGACGACTGATGGCAGCGGCCTGGCCATTGTCGAATCCTACTCGACGGTGACCCCAGGCCGTCGTGGATTCCATCTCGACAATAACCCCTGTCCTTTGTCGATTCCGACTTGATAGTGACCACAGGACGTTGTCGAGTCCGACTCGACGACGTCCCCGGGCCATTATCGAGTTCGATTCGACAATGACCAAAGGCCGTTGTCGAGTCCGGCACGACGACGACCCCGGACCATTGTCGAGTTCGCTTCGACATTTACCATAGGCCATTGTCAAGTTCGACTCGACAATGGCCTGTGGTCATTGTCGAGTCCGACTCGACGACGACCCGGGCCATTGTCGAGTTTGCTTCGACAATGACCACAGGATGTCGAGTCGGACTCGACGATGACCACAGGATGTCGAGTCCGACTCGACGATGACCCCGGGCCATTGTCGAGTTCGACTCGATGATGAACACAGGCCATTGTCGAGTCCGACTTGACAATGACCCCGGCCCATTGTCGAGTCCGACTCGATGATGACCCCGGGCCATTGTCGTGTTCGACTCGACAATGCCCCCGTCGAGTTCGACTCGACGGCGGCCTCTGCATGGGCGGAGATGCCACGTGGCAGCACGTGGTTGCTTCAGGGCGGTTTACCGTTCTCCCAGGCCTCCGCTGCTGCCTTCGATGCGGATGCTCGTCACTTCGCTCCGATGCAGCGCGAACGGCCGATGTGCGAGCGAGATCTCCGTTGCGTTTTGCGCGAGCCTCCGATGTGCGAGTCAGTGCTCCGCCGGCTTCGGACACTTCGCGAACCTCCACAACGCTCCGTTGCTCTCGACTAACTTGCAGAAATAGGAGATGGTGGGCCCACACCACTATTTATACTTTCTGTGGAAGGCCTGCGGGGGAATGCGGCCTGCGGGGTGTGGATTCGGGACCCGGTGCCTTGGGGGGATCGGTGCCGCGGGACCGACGTTTTGAATCCCGGGAAAATCTGGGTCGTCGATCCGTCGGCTGAGGGCCAGGATCGGGTGCGGGGAAAACAAGTGTCGTGGTGAGAATCGTTGCCCAGCGGGCGACGATTCGAATCCCGGGAAAGTCTGGGGCGTCGATCCGTCAGCTGAGGGCAAGGATCGGGTGAGGGGAGAACTGGTGCCGCGGTGGGAGTTGATGCCAAGGGGGGCGACGATTCGGCTGTCGGTGCCGTCCGAGACTGTTAAAACGGGCCCCGCATGAGGATCCAAGGGTCTTTTCCCTTGTGTCGCTCCCAGACAAAAGGCCGGTCCAGTGTCACCTTCGCGTCGACGCAAAAGACGGTTGCGTTGCTCCGCCACGCCAGCTGCATTGCTGCTCCGATTCGTGCCTTCTTCGACCCAGGTGAGTTCGGAATCCTCGCCGCCCCCGCTCCCCTGCCAACCCCGTCTCCCCCCAATTCAAAGGCGCCGCCCCCCCCCCCCCCCCCGCCCGCCGCGCGAACCACCCAATCGCGCCCATCCACTTCTGCTATTCGTCATTCGTGTTTTTTCAGGACGTCAACAGAATTTCTCCCACAGTTTCACAGAGCCGTCCATCATCGAGTCCGACACGACAACCGTCGTGTTCGACACGATGACGGTTGCGCGCGGGCGTGTACGCCACGTGCTGAACATGACCCCATCGTCGTGTTCAATCCGATGATGGTCGTTGTCATCGAGTCGAACACGACCGCGGTGGCACCCCCCGACCTCACCGTCGTGTTCAACCCGATGACGGTCGCTGTCATCGTGTCGAGCATGACTGCAGTGGCACCCCGCAACCCCACGATCGTGTTCAATACGGTGACGGTCGAGTGAGGGCATGTACAGCACGTGCTGAACACGACCCCACCATCGTATTGAACCCAACGACGACTGCTGTCATCGTGTCGTACATGACAGAGGTGGCTGCCCACAACCCAAGAAGTTGTATCAATAAGTTATAGAGAATAAGTTACATATAAAATCAGTTATATTTATTGGTAGAGTTAGATTGATGTATATTTGTTCAATGTGGTGACGGTCGAGTGCGGGCATGTACAGCACGTTATGAACATGACCCCACCGTTGTGTTCAACCCGCTTACGGTCGCTATCATCGTGTCGAACACGACCGCGGTGGCACCCCTCGACCCCGCCGTCGTGCTCAACCTGTGACGGTCGCTGTCCTCGTGTCGAAAGCGACAACATGTCGTCTTCAATACGATGACGCTCGAGTGCGGGCATGTACACCACGTGATGAACATGACCGCGTCGTCGTGTTCAACACGATAACGGTCGCTGTCATCGTGTCGAACACGACATAGGTGGCACACCCCGACCCCGACGTCGTGTTCGATGCGATGACGGTTACTCTCGTAGCCATCGTGCCGATGGTAATGTTCAACATGCGACGGTCGAACGAGGACATTATCGCCAACAAAGCATCGTCGCGTTCAACAAGCAGGCGGTCGCTCATCGTCATCTTCAACACGACGGTGGTGGACATGACCGCGCTGTCGTGAGAATACTATGACGGTGGATCTCGCCGTGTGCGTCTGTCGTGTTGTGCAATGCGATGATGCGCCGTCGTGTTGGACACGACCGCGGCGGGAGATCATCTCGTTCAACATGACAGCCAGTCGTCGTGTCTCTCGTGCATCGCTTCTGTTGAAGACTGTCATTTTTTTCGTATTCACGGGCCTTACATCGGCTATGTGTGGCTAGCAGTGGCGGCGCTGAACCACATGTGTTGCACTTTACATATACCGCATGTGATCCATCTAGCTGCAGATATGTTACTGATATGTATGTCTTGTGTCAGTGGTCCACTGTTTTGTCATCGCAGAAACGTTTTAAATGGCTTGTGGTGGGCATGCACCGCGGCAAGCTGCCAGCAGAACTTTCGAAAGCATGGACTGTGTGGCATCTAATATACTGCCTAGTGATGAGCTTCCTCCCCCGGACCTGCCAATGTTTTCGTAAGACGTTCAAATAACTTCAGAATCTCCTGATTATAAATGGTCCCGGATGGCTACGTGTGAAGAAACCACATGCGAAAATGCATCTCCAGCCTTGGGTGGGCCAGTGAAAACCTCTGATGCAGAAGGTTCAGAAGGTCAGGGAAGGGCCGCCTCCGGTGACAGGAACATATCCGATGTAGATCATATCATGTGGGTGCCGAGAAGTTCGCTACGAGATTTCGAAGGCACAGGCCTTCTGTTTGGCGAGAATGATGAGGATGGTTCAGAATCAGGTGCTTCGAGGTCATCTAATGCCAATAGTTCTCCAGACCAAATTGATCATCCACAACCTTGCGATGATGATGGCACTGACCACTACTGTCGTAACGGTATGGAGAGTTCTGATGTCATCTCTGATTTTGATGACATTTTCCCAAAATGTTTGTCATCGGAGAAGCGTCTTTATACTTTCCGTGTCAAAATGCCTCGGTCAAAGAAGATTATGCAAACAGTTCACAGAAAGTTCACCAAAAAAACACTGGCGAGTGTGCGCGGACAAGTTTGTTGTAAACAAGATTGTTGCGCTCGCATGACCATGAAAGACATCAAAGCTGTCCGGAGTGCATATTAATGTAAGGATCACAAAAGTAGAGATGCATGATGGGTTGAAACGTTAAAGAGGTTCACCTTCGTGGAAGATGAGAAAGAGATTGTGCAACCTATTGTGGGGAAAATAAAGGTGTGCATTAGTGCATGGTGTTTCACACTGGGTGTGTGCAGGAATACCTTTTTGAAAAATAGGGTGACTTTGTCAAAAAGTTACATTATGCCGGAGCATGGCAGCACTGGACTCAGACGCACATCTGCAACATAAGCGACAATGTTCGGCAAACTAAGCTCCTTTGTGCGTGACAATGGAGATTCCATGCCCAATGACATGAGGATCAAAGATGGAGAATCACGAGTGGTTTTGAGATTGCCTGCTTGCTATAACAAGGTTGACATTTATAAGTTGTTGAAGTCACAATTTGATAACCTGGGTGTCCCTTCAGTTTCTCTTCAAGTTTTCTATAACATGTGGAGAACACACTTCTGGCGTGTGAAATTCCATGAAGTTGATCAAAACTTTGCGAAATGCGAGAAGTATGTTGAGTTCAAAAAATCTATCAATTCTGCGAAGTTCGTACGTGTGCATGATTATTTCATTTCGGAACGCAACAAACACTTGGACTTCCAACTCCAACACCGTGCTGCTTATGAGGTGTGGAAGGATGAGTCGAAGAGACCAGGTTCCAACAGTTTATGCATCATTATTCACGGTATGGACCAAAGCAAGACGAGTATTCCACACTTCGGCGGAGAAAACAAGTCGAAGGCATTCTCGAATATTCCAATCATGAAAACAATTTAACAGCTATTATCGCACACGGCCGTTTACCATCGGTGCATGTTCACACATGGTACCCTTGCTATCTACATGATTCCAATGCTGTGGTGTCATCCGTTATGAAAGTTCTGCGTGATATACAGGCGACAAGCGACTTACCTCCTAAATTGAGGATACAAGCCGACAACTGCTAGAGAGAAAACAAAAACAAATATGTTTTGTTTTCGGCCGCAGCTTTAGTGAAATCTGGCTTCTTCAAAGAAGTCGAATTCGGTTTTATGTTGGTAGGACATACACATACGGACGTTGATGCCACTTTCAGTCATTTCTCTCGCAAAATGAAAATGCACGATGCTTATACTATGCTCGACCTGTTCAAACTCGTTGTCAGTTCTCAAAACGAGCGTCCTTTGTGCATATTCATGGATGAAATTGCTGGCTCGCGGGGAGCTGTTAAGCCCTTCCTGGTCAACAGACTGACCGTCATACAAAGCCACATTTATTTAGGTTTTATATGGAGGATGACAATCTTGTGTTCCAGTGGGAAGAGTATTGCACTTCTCCGCATTGGTCTTCTCCGGTCTATTGCTTTAAACGAGATGAAAATAAAGCATATGCTGGACCGAATGGCCATTCGAGCTTTCACCTGTTCTCCCGTCACCTGTTCGACCTATTACAGAAACATCACGTGGTCAACCTGCTAAGGATAAGAATTCGGATTTCAAATCAGGAATTGAAGGCCTGAAGACGTTTGTTGAGTGGTTGAAAAACAAGCGACACGAGTGGTTGGGAATGAAAGATGAGGTTGGCTTCTCAAAGGAGAGTGCTCTTTCACACAAGAAAACTTTCCTGGACACAATCGAGGAAAATTATGGGTTTGGATTTGCGAAAACATCACTCAAGGCTGGCTTTTGGCCCTCGCGGGACAAAATTATGAAGGACGATGCTGAGGATATTGATATTGCCTTCCTCTTGCAGAGCAATGAGACTAAGGAGCCGTAGTTTGTTGGGTCAGCCAATGATCGTCCAAAAGCAGAGCTCGACCCGGTTGTGGATGTCGAAAAGGGTCAATTCGTTCTCTTGCGTTCTTTGCAAGATAATATCGATCAGGGAGTTCCCATGTGGATGGGTAGAGTAATTTCTAATATTGAAAACGATAGGAAGTCGCCTGCTTTCAATCATGTTCTTATTGAATATTGGGTGCCACAACCTGTCGTTAAATTTTTTTCTCTGCAATATGCAAATGCATGGAAGAAGATATGGAAGAAAGACAGCACAACAGCACAGCAGTGGCAGCACGTGAACTGTGTTTTGTGGAGCTGGTCATAGAGTACGTTGCATTTGGAAAATGGAGTGCACATTCCCAAATTGGTCAGAGAGAAAACCTTGGCATGTCTTTCACTTCCAGATGATGAAGACCAATAGGATAAGTCACTGAGAAGGCCTCATTTCGTGCGTGTTGGTGTACCATTTACTTGTCATTGAGCTTTCATTCATATATAGTTAAACTATATATCATTGGCTTGTCTTTTACTGCTTCTGTATTTCATTGGTTGCAGAATGGTTCATTCAACGACTGGATGGCCGCCAAGCAATATGGTGTGGGGTAGAAATGTATGGCATGATATGGGGTCTATCTTTTTCACACCTGAAGTGGTTTTCGAGGGTGCAGTACTCAGTGTCAGAGGTGTGGATGTCGCACCGGATTGCTGGGAGCATAATCTTCGACAATGTTTGTATATTTGTGGTCGTAGGTGTTGTAGAACAAGAGAATACCCGCGAGAAGTGCTCGCACCGTATTCAGAATTGTACTATTCAGCATTGAAGTTCTACCACAACGACTTCAAAATGATGACCTTGTACTGTGCAGCGTCAAGTATCCAAGGGCGCTGCAAACTTTCTTTTCTTATTCATAACGATCATTCTACAAGTGCAAACATATCTAATGCACATGACATCGACGGACGAAGACAGGAAGCATTTCGAAGGAGGATCATGGACCAACCGTCGCTCAAAGTACTCGTGGATGGGCTCGAGGACACAACGATTACATATTTACGAATGCTTCTATTGTGAGAGTATGAAGTTATAGAAACTTATGTAGAGTACAAGGACCCCACGTTTAATGGGCACAATGAGACGAGCACTGTAGAAGATTGGACAATTCACATGAGGAGAGTGTGAAATTTATCACGCAGATCGTGTTAATATGTTCATTATGTACTTAGATCTGATTCAAATATCCTTAGAATATCGTTTTGAAGTGTTATCTAGCAGTGACTAGAAGTTGATTTCAATTATAGTCAACTTTGACGAAGATTTTGACAATGTGTAATTTTAAGAGTTCATAGAGTCTGACGCACCATTGAGCTGATGTAAATGACACTGCTTTGCTTTTAACATAATTGTCAATGGACTTTTGCATTAAATTTTCCTTCCACGGTCTCCATATGAAGGGTGTTCTTATAGTTTGAAGCAACTTAAGGTCTAAGACTTGGACTTTGGAGAGTTGCTCTTTGTTTAAATGTGTCAAGGGTTTTACAAATTTCGCAATTCTTTCCTTCGCATACGATGTCATTTTTTTTTCGTTTATATTTTTATCATTTGAACAGTTTTCTGCTCCAGGTTTACATTGTGCTGGAATATTAAAATCCTATTTTTTTTGTTCTACAATTTACCTTTTGTTCGGTTACTTCGTTAATTTCATTATGTTCACTTTTTACAAAACAGTTCATTTTTAACGAAAACGCCGTTTTGAGAGGAGCGGGGTAGTAGCTTCATATAGCGTTCAAGGGGGTTCCCAAGAGTCAGCCATTCGAGACACTTGTACCAGTACTTCTCGCAAGATTCGAGTCCGCGTCTGTCGGACGTTCCTTTCTGTGAGGATAAACGTTAGTTTGCGTCCGTTGGAGGTTTTTTGCCGAACTGGGTAACGAACCAGTTGGTGCGCCATATCCAAGATCACAAGGTCTGCTTCCTTCTTACTGTTAGAAGTGCTAAGTGAT